AGTTCATAATTTTTTGTTAGTTTAGCTGTTCTAAAAATTATTTGAGACTAGTGAGTCTGAAGATTCAAAAAAGAATTTCAAACATAGAGTCTTAAATTGGCTTGAAAAAGCCTAACTTTAGGCTTTGATACTAACCTATGACACCAAATTAATCATATAATAAACAAATTTTAGATCAGACAATACACAATTTTAAACTCCTTATGAAAACAATTTGTAATAGTAGACAGAATTTGTCTAAAGTGACTACAAAATAAATAATTTGAATGAATTGGATATATAACCGGCTACCGGGTGCAACTCATGCTCTTCGTAAGCAAGAATACAAATACAAAAAAGCTCTAAATGAACCTTGGGGAATAATGTAAAACAGAAGGAATCTTTGATGAGCCAATGTTGTCCTTATTTTAGTGTAACTATCAAAACGAAACTAATTAACTTTGTATAATATTCTATGCAAATGAAAAAATCCCTATAATTCAATCCTATGAAACCAATCACCAAAACCAAAAATATTAAAATAAGTACCAAATTATTAGATGTCAATGACCATATCTTCAATTGTCGATTCATTGGCATAATCGGACACTAAATTTGAATTCCAATGGCCAACATCACAATAAACAATAACATCAAACGTAAACTTCACTTCATCCTTCACACTTTCTACTGGCATCTTATACCTACAAATTGGACACGATCCATATCTCCAACCACTTTACAACACAATTTGAATGAAACTTTTGTCTACATGGCATCTCCTTAGCTTCATTACCGATTTCAAATTCTAACAAATAGATGGCGCATTCGGTCCCTTGTTCAAGTGTTTAGTAGGTATGCCCTTGGTTTAAGGCCTACATAAAAATTTAATACAGATTTAAGATGAATTTTGCCGTAAATCAAACAAAAGTGGTCGTTTTAGAACTTGAATTCTTAAGAATTTAAAACAAATAATGCTATTTAAAAATTGCGTCATTTATGCTTCTGTCACGATCCAAAATCACGTGACTAGCACCCGGCATACTACCCGATCCGAGCAAACCAAACCATATGCATGAAAATTAATTTAACTGCGGAAGCATTTTGAAAATCATATATATTTTCAAGTTAAATGATGATACATTTTCCAATTCAAAATCACACATGACGCCTTTCATGATAATAATGGGATCAAATGCAATGAATATCTTTTTATACATGTCGTGTACCATCTCGTTATTACAACTCATCACAACTATCTATGGAGCCTCTATACCAAGAATAGAACTCAATATTTGGGCCAATGTCCGACTAACATAAAATAAAAAGACATGATGATAGTTACCGCGAAATAGGAGTGGTGCCTCACCATATACTTTGGGAAGAGAGTCATCCTAGCTATGTCTGAATGCAACGTATCATACCCCTCATCCCGAAATATGTAAAGTAAGCGGAGCCGTGGAGAGGGGTGCGTGAGGGCTGAGTACACTGCCACGATACTCAATAAGTGTCGTAGACTCTCTCTAACTCAAGTTCCTAGGACAAGATTTTACAAAATGCTACGCAACCAATATTTCATTTAAAGTGATAAAAAATTATATAAATCATTCTATTTATCATTTCAAATGAAAAGACAAATAAAATATAATAAATTCTTAGAACATGTATATCAATCCATGATTTTTAATAAAAATAACACAATACCATTTCAATTTCATTAAGTCATTGAAATCACTTTTGGCTCCTTAGGCCTAAACATAAGAAAGCCTTCTTTACTTTTCACCGGGAGTACTATATCGACACCGACATAATAAACAACCACTAGGTGATCAACCTAGCAACAAGTATTTGACCATACTTGTCTAGGCAGCTTCTCGTAGTGCCGTACAAGTCGCCTTAACCTCATTACTTTAATAATGATCATTTGCCCTTTCAATGGAGGACTTTATCCCACAAACCTTGGCTTAATTTGGAATGCGTCCTTATATTGGCACATGTAGTTTCATAGTAACATACTCAACATTCGAACCAATCTCGGTGATCTCTACTAGTAACTCCCAAAATATTTGAATATCAAAAATAGATTCATAGCTTAATAGCCTCAAAGGATCTATTTTTATTAAATCATGATTTTCGTAGTCAATCCAAACTATTTGATCAAAATCAAATGAATAACGTTTTTCAAGTTAATGCCTATATCAATTTAACATCAATCTTTTAACGATATAACAAGTACTAGTCCATTGTTCAAATTTCAAAACACATACTTTTTCATGAAAGCATATCTTTAGCACTCAAATATTTATACTCTTATCAGCACATAAATTCTAATAAAACTAATAACGTTTAAGTGTCATCTTTTAAAAATAAGATTTTTATATAAAATCACTTGACACTTCAGAGGCAACAAACTTAGAAACACATGGTGAGATTCTTCTCGCTTGTCCCCACAAGTACTGATGCACATTTATAATAATATCACGGATTAACTCAAAACATGCTTTTAGAGAGAATCCCTCAAGAAGAGTAAGTCATAATTAACTTACCTCAATCTTCAAGCTCCAAATGATACTACACCGCTCCAATTGATTAAAATGCTCAAATATCACCAACAATTCACTATCATTAGATATCCCAATTACATTCAAACAAATACAAAAAGATCCAAAAACATTTATTTAGGCTTCACAATTCAGCAACAAGCCTTCAACCATTTCAAATTATCCAATACGTCCACCAATTAGCTATTTAATCACAATCTTATCTTTAAATACTCATTTGGAGTTATTAATGATACTATATTATATACCCAACATCATCAAGTCACTATTCATTATTTTGTCCCAAAAAATTCTACGTTCAAGAATATCCAATTCATGAACTAGTGTTATTTCTTAGCCAAATGGTGATTCCCCTTTAATTCATCCATCAATTAGGTTATTAAGTCTATTGGCATCATTAAAAACTCAAAAAAAAAATTATATCAATCCACCACTATTCACCTTCTTCTTCATTCAAAATATTATTTTCAAGATCCACTCTTAGGGTTTATATAATACTCCATTATTACTTCAAATAAACTTCATAAACATGTTATCCACACTCCAATATATCATATATGTGAAGCTCAAGTAAAGAAATTACCTTTTGATGGTCTTACTTTTTTCTTTTTGGTGTTCTTGAAGATTCAACTCATTTTCTATAGATTTTGATCCATAATACTATTAGTTTTATATCAAACGATGTTATATAATCATTCTTATATCAAATAAACTTATCTTGAAGTGTATTCATGGTGGGAGAGTTCCTCATTCTCTCTAGAATCCAAACTCTTGTCCAAAATTTTATCTCTTTCTCTCTCCTCGAAATAGCAACTTTTATAATTTTGATGACATCGGTAGCTATGCACACCTCCAGCATAGCTACGCTCGCTTCCTCTTCATATCCCATTCCTTTGACAAGCTTGCGGGAATTAGTTGCGCACAAGACAATGTAGCTACGCACAACTCGCATAGCTGCATGGTTGGTGTGCTACCCTTCGATAAAAAGATCATAACTTCTTGTAGAAATATTCAAATGACAAACAATTTAAAGCATTAAAAATTAGACTCATAGATATTTAATTTGATAGGTCATACACAACATAAATATTCATATATTGGGCGTTGTGCTCGTTTGAATTTAAGCCTTCTACGAACTCATTTTAAACTTTAATCTATCATATAGTTTCCAACTTGACTTAGCCTTAAGCTCTTCTTAGACCATAAATTATTATTAATATGCCTTGCACACATATTACCATGATAAATTGATTTTCTTCATATTATTAGTCTTTGTTCGTACCTAAATTAATATGATTAACATATATTAATCTTCTTAATAGCCTTTAAACACATCGAAATTTTTCGGGGTATTACAACTTCACGCTCGGCTCGATATACTTAATCCTGCTTCAAAGGACTAATTTATGTTGGGTGTTCTCTAGAAAGACATTCATTTAAGTTTTGGTCATGTTAACATAATTTCAGCAACGTTAGAGTCTTGCTAAAAGTTCCTCCTTCTTCGTCTCCTCCTCCTGCTTCCTTTTTCTTCACCATCTTTTCTTCTTCTTCATATTCCCCCTTCTGCTTCTTCCTCTTCCAATATGTTACGAGCACTCAACTAAAATTTAAAAATAATAAGATATGTGTTGTAGAAAATTGAAGACTTATTGCTTATTTGCGGTTGAAATTGACTCGGTAATATTTTCATTGCATGTATGTTCAATTGAGCTTAAATTGTATGTCCTTAAGAATTTGGATTGGTTTGGTTGGTGAACAATTGAAGAACACCAATGTTGAATTTTGTTGAGTATGAAAAAAAAAATTGTAAAGAAAACAAAGTGAATTTATTGATTTCGAACCACAAAAATTATTGGGATTGGTATAAAAATGTTGTATATCAAAATTAGAGTTAATTTGGATAAATTTGAATCAAAAGCTATAGCAACAAGCTTGCCTATGAAATTTTCGCACAACCACCTATGGCAATTCAATTTTATGGCCAATTCTAGCAATTTTATTAGGATTCTGATATATTTGTCAAGATTTTTGTTAGGGTAAACTTTGTACATCAATTTAAAATTCGTCAAGATTTGTAGTCAAATTTAAGATTGGTTTGTGACAAGAAAATTATTGCTCATCAATTTAAAAATTTGTCAGAGATCATCAAAATTTCTCTACCTAATGTAGACCTTGAATCAATTTGTCCAAAACTTTTATTAACGAGATCAAATTTAAACGTGTCACTGAAAGATTCTATGTGTGCAAGTCGCCGCTTCAGAGCAAGGGGTACAAATAGAAGAAGCAAAATAATGTAAAACTGAAAGAAGGAACCATTGATGAGGCAATGTTGTTACTATTTTTGTGTATACAATCCAAACGAAACTAATTAATTTTGTATAATATTTTATACATAAAAAATCTCTATAATTCGATCCTATCAAACTACAAAACACCAAAATATGATAAAACGTAACCAAATTATTTGCTGTCTACGACCATATCTTCAGGTGTCGATTCATCGCCAAAATCGGATTCTAAATCAAAATCCCAATTATCAAAATCATGATTAACAATAACATCAAACGTAAACATAACTTCATCCTCTGCACTTTCAATTGGCATCTTATACCTACAAATCGGACACGATCCATTAATTCCCAACCACTTCGCAACACAATTTGAATGAAAATTATGTGTACATGGCATCTCCTTAGCTTCATCACCGACTTCAAATTCTAACAAACAGATGGCGCATTCAATCCCTTGTTCGAAAACCGAAACCACCGGCATCGATTCAATTGACGTTTTAGTTGCAGGTAAAGGCGCTTCCTTAACCTCAATGAATGTAATTGATCTGTTCGTTGCATCCACCATTACTCTTACCTCAAGTGGATGTTCCGGTGGTGGAGAAGTGGCGGAAAAGTGGATAATATAAGGGATGATTATCGATCTGGCGTTAGTTGAGGTCAGATCTTCGAGAGATGGCAGAGATAACATCTCTGCATCTGTAGATAATGGAGCCATTCCACACAATGCTGTAGCTGACTATGGTTGACGCGTGCGCAAGAGAGGAGAGAAAGAGAGAAATTTAACTTTTGAAAGGAGGATAGTCTGTCTTATAGGCTGACCGCTGATTTGGTAGCGTGTGGAGGTGATGCGTAAATTTTAGAGTCCAAGTTCAATGTAATTATAAGTAAATTTTTATAAAAATAGTAACGAATATATTAGTAAAGCAACTAATAATAACTTGTTGATTATAAGTTACAGTATATATATTGAGAGTATTCAGGAAAAACATTGTGCTAGCGATACAATTTAACTAGCTATAGGTTATACTCTTTCTCTCATATTGTAATATCAAACTTAATATTGAAAGTTACCTATTATAGTAGGTCAACCGAACATAATAGGGTAAGAAATTTTTTGTATTGAATAGTAACTCTAAAATTATAGAGTTTTATGTTTTATACCCGTTAGTGTAAAAACAGATTTATTTTTATAAAGTAACCTTAAGAATATCGACAAGTAAGCTTTATTAAAATATGAGAATTATAATTTTACAAATAAAAACCTACTACAATAACTTGGGATAACCTAATCGTGTATTATATATATATATATATATATNGACAACTTTATCAAACATGACAATTAGTGAGTTACTACTGACTTTGATTCGTTTTTCCTTTTCGAGATCCCCATAATAGAGCCTGGTCTTTTAAATACAGCAACAACAAAACCATATTTTCACAAGTGGGGTCCGTAAAGAGTAGTGCGTACGTGGACCTTACTCGTACCTAGTGAAGATAGAGAGGTTTTTTTCAATGAACCCTTGGCTTAGAAAGCCTGGTATATATATAACTTTTAGTTAATGCAAGTAATTTTCAGAAACCACTATTTTTTAGTGGCTATTAGCTACCATATACATAATTACTTCCTATAGCTACTATTCAGTTGTTACGGTAGAAAGCCTGCAAAAAGCGCATAAAAATTATGGTAGTCTAGGTGTACGCACATGTATTCGCGCCATGTATTCATGAATACAGCCGCAAAAAGCGCCAAAAATTAGGGCAATCTAGCACTACGCGCATGTATTCACTTGTATTCGCGTTGTTGTATTTATACAGTAGTAAAAAGCGCCTAAAATCAGGGCAGTCCAGCTGTACGCACTTGTATTCACATGTATTCGCCCCATGTATTCATGAATACAGCATCAAAAAGTGTTTAAAATCAGGGCAGTCCAGTTGTACGCGCATGCATTCACATGTATTCGCGTTGTTGTATTCATGAATACAACAGTAAAAAGCACCTAAAATCAGGGTAGTCTAGCTATACGCGCATGTATTCACATGTATTCGCGTCATGTATTCATGAATACAACAGTAAAAAGCACCTAAAATCAGGGTAGTCTAGCTATACGCGCATGTATTCACATGTATTCGCGTCATGTATTCATGAATACAGTAACGACAATCACCTTAAAGATAGGTATGTCCAGTTGTCTAAGAGAGAGGAAAAACATAAATAGCGTATTTCATGCCTTATTTCATCCCTTATTTCATGCCTTAATGGTAGTATATACCATAAATACTTATTTTGCTATAAAATATAAAAGAAGAAATTACATCATATATCACTTGGGTCATACAGCCCATTCGAAAATAGCCCATATTTGAAGCCCTTACCTGGCTTAGCCTAGATTGTATATGTTATGAAATTTAGTTTTCACCCGGTAGCCCACAATTTAAAACAACAATTTTAATATTTTAAATTTCAATTTCTCTGTTTCTCTTCCTCACGCTTTCTCAGAGCCGACGATAACCGACCTCCATTGTTGGGTTCAAGTACTTTTTCGAGCTTTCAATCTTATTTTCAGGTAATTTTCGTTTCAATTTATGCTTTTACCATAGTTTTGGTTTTGAATTTTGTTTTATTTTTAGTTTTTTTTTTGCTTTTATGATTATGCCTATTTTCTTACAATGTTGTTGTGTTTTTCGTTTGATTTTGTGTTCCTTCTATCTCAATTCTAGGCTTAAACTTGATGTTTTCAGTTTGCATGCTTTGTTATTTCGAATTTTAGGGTAGAATTTTTTATTTTTTGACTTTTGTTACAATTTGGGAAAATTGGCCTATGCTTTGTGTTCATGGCCTTTATTTTTGGTTCACTTTTGAGTTTTGTTCATTTTGATTTTTGTGTTTTCCTTCAGTTGTCTTCACTTTTGTTAAAGCTTTGTTTATTTGGTTTATTGTAGACAATGCGTTCAAAAAATCCTGCTTCTAAAAGCAAAATGAAGGTTGCTGGAAAAGGCGTTAAGTTCGATTATGCGAAACGATTGAGGGACTTGCCCTCAAGCCCTGATTCTAAAGCTAATGTAAATGTCCAGGCGCCAGATGATAATAATTTTGAGTCTCCTTCTCCTCCTAAAAACTCGCAACAAGAGAGCAGTCGAATGACTCGTTCGCAAATGAGGAATTCTCCCACTCCAGTTAAATCATCGAGGGACTTGCCCAAAATCCCTGCTTCTGAAGCGAATATGCATGTCCAGGCTCCCGATGATGATGATTTTAAGTCTCCCGCTCCTACAAAAAAGTTGCAACAAGAGAGCAGTCGAATGACTCGTTCGCAAACAAGTAATACTCCTACTCCGGTTAACATCGTTAGAATAAGGAGTAAGAAATGTGGGAGACCTGAAAAATCAAAAGAAAAGCTGAAAGTTGATTTGGTTAATGAAGATGATGTAGGCCCCAATGTTAAACCGAAAAGGAGAAAGATCAAGGACGATGGTGAGAATGGTCTTGATTGCATATCGAAAGAACAAAGGTTTGCTATTTGCTGCAAATTGAATGAGAGAACAGCTAAGTTGAAGGTATTCCTTGTATTGCTATTAAATTATACATGCTTATACAATTTTATACAAAGTTATACAGGTGTTTATACATCATTATACAAGTACTACTATACTGATTTATACATTTTTATAAACGTTTTTAGTATAGTTTTTGTTCCTGATCTATTTCTTGTTATTTTTTCCATATGCAAGGTTGGGGACTTCTATATACAACCAGTTGATCATTTCCACAACAGGATTAGTTCCCATACTGAAACTGATATTGTGAGCATTTTGAAGCAATGTTTGACTGACACGCAGCTTCAAATATTTCGTGCTAGTTGTTTTGGGTACTTCTTGGACCTCCCTCAATTTAAAATTCAAAATCAACTTATTCATTGTATATTATTGAGGGAAGTCATCCCAGGACGGGAAACGGAGTTGTGGGTGAAAATTAATGGTTGTTTGCAACATTTTGGCATTAGAGAGTTTGTTGTTATCACTGGTTTGAAGTGTGTAGAAGACGACACCACTTTCTATGACAAACCATATGTTAATAGGTTGCTAAAAGAGTACTTTCCAGGAGATAGAAAAAAGGCTATAACGAGGGGACAGCTTCTTGATCACTTCAAGAAAAAGGACTGGAAGTCGGACGAAGATGCATTCAAGATGGCCTTGATGGTGTTTGTCCATCATTTAATATTCTCAGATGCCAATAATCATAGTATTAACAAAGATGATTTTGATATCATTGAAAATGGTCAATATCAGACGTATGCTTGGGGAAAAAAGTCATTTGAAGATATTTTAAGGACAATGAGGGACAGACAATGTGACTATTTGACAATGTATAGGCTTGGAGGTTTACCACTTGCATTACAAATATGGTTTTTTGAGTGTTGCTTTATGGTTGACAAGCATCTAGCTGTTCGCGTTGGCACAAATATGCCACGCATTCTTAATTGGAAAGTGACTGAAACTCCAACATATACGGATTTGACTGGCGGGGTGATCATGTGTAGTATCGACAAGGTAAACATTTTGTACCATAATACTTCTTCATATATGATTTTAGTTTCTCTATATGTATATTTATGAATATGTCACAATTTCCTTTTTCTACTATTGTAATCCAGTTTTTCTTCTTGTAGTTGAACTATAGGAACATTTCCCCTACTCGTAAAGAGATGTCAACTCTGAACATCGACACGCTTTTTGAAGTTAATGCCGATGATGTTGCATCAGGGGAGGTGCCTGTGGTGCCTGCCTTTCACACTAATGATTCTGTCGCTGCATCTCCACCCTGTCCTCAGAATATGGAGCAACAGTCTAAATGACCTTATCCTCAGAATACGGAATAATAGTCTAAACGACCTTTTCCTCAGAATATGGATCGACAGCCTAACCCGAGTTATGATCCTTTGGTGCGCATTGATCTGTTGAATGCTGAAGTTGAGAAGTTGAGAAGTGTTGCTGGAAAGGTACTGGACCTTTAGCTTTTCTGTAGTTTATCAGTACTTTTTGTATATACATGATTTTTTGGTTATAAACATGGTTGTTGATTTGCTTTTGTTGTTTTTTTTGTAGTTGATTGATACAGTGACGACATTCAGCAATTATGTAGTTTCTTCCTTTGAAAAAGTGTTCAGTTTTCTGAATATGAAAGAAAACAAGCAAACGAGGGAGGATGTTACTGATTCTAAGGTAATTGTTTATTGATAAAACTAAATCATTCAACAGTTATGCATTCTCTGAATCATCACTCAACATGCCTTCTCTTTCTATTGTTTTTTATTAGATTCCTCAGCGCATGTTTGATGACAATACATCTGGTCTCGGCGAATTTGATGGCTATCAATATGATGTTGTTGCTGACTTTGTCAATCAAGTGAATCAAGATAACGTGCTAGTTGACGAGGGAGTTACTGATGGTGTTGATCATGGTATTTGTTCTGCATTTTATCTTTTTTTGTCTGATTATTCCTTTCTTCATTTTTAAAGTTTTTTATTATTTTTTTTCTCTGTCTAAGGGGCAACAGGTGATGTCAAGGGTGGCACATTTTGGGATGACATTGGCGATGAAGATTTAGTTGTGCTACAGATGTCCCAAATTGTGCTTCACAAACAATCCATCATTGATGTAGAAGATGATTACATTTCTCCTGAACAGTCAGTTCGACAGAAAATACCAGGAAA